GACCTTGCAAAATTCGGAAGCGTTGATAGCTGTCCAGCTCCCTTGCCCAGCCGCTCCCTTGCTCGACGCCAGATAAAGAGATAAACCTCCAATGAAGCACGGACTCTCCCTGTCTTACACAGAACATCCTTGTCCTGGTACGTGGACCTTAAGTCATGGTCATCTATTGCTCTCAGCGCAGATCTACCCCATCAATTACTGCAATAGGATCCATCTCATGTCCACAAAAGGTCCTGTTGAGTATAATCCAAGAGTGCACCTGTCTTACAATTCCGCTATCCTAACTTAATACTAAATGCTGTCGGTGGTTGAGCATCATTGTGCGAAAGGCATAATTGGAGAACCTGACTGTCATGGTCCCAAATCCCTCCGGTCGCCGCCTACTCAAGCCCAATCATGAAGGGGTATTAGGAGTTAGACTCTGGGCAAAAACGTTGACGTCTCGGAGAAATCTCCGCAACAAAATCTCTGTCGAAGTAGATCAAGTCAGCCGTATAAATAGATCGACCTCGAAAAACTACGATTAAGTATCGTGTAGTTAGCGTACAAAGCTTTCCGTCTAAACTTACGAAGGTTTCCGTGATTGTCGTTAAACATCCCTTGGGCGGCAATGCATGTGAAGAGCACTAGGACACTATTAATTCGCGATCCATACGACAAACTTCTATTCCACAACTGTAATAACATAAATTTAGCCTTGTATAATGAAATATTCTCAATAAATACAAACGAAAAGCGCAGAGCCAAAGTTTCAGGTTTCTCTGGGCTAAGTCACGTGGCAACGGGTTTTGACATTCCACCGAAACGCGGAAGCACCTAACCGCGTAACCGCTCGGTCGCGTCTTCCCCATCCTAAAATTACCCTACTCCATCCATTGCCAATTCCACCTACCAATGAAGTCATCATGAAGAGGACTCATCATGAGAATAACAGTAGTGACTTTAGTTCGAAATACAAGCCACTTTCATTCCACAAGAAGAGCTGCTTGCGCGTTTCAGACCCCATTTCTCTTCGTCTCGTTGCCAACAAAATGTCGACGACAAGCTCCAAGAGCAATGGAACAATATTATAGAACCAGACACACCACTCCATTCATCATCTACCCATGAGCCTAAGCAAAATATGGGGTGCAACTTTTCCAAGCCCTATAGAAAAAAGTTGAGGACGGAGAAGATAACCTCACCATCACTTTATTTCACCGAGAAGGAACAGGCTAGACTAACGAAAGGAAAGTTAAGCTTGAGCCTAAAGAGGAGTAAGTTGTGAACCCACCATGCCCAGATCCCTCTTCTTACTAGACTAGAAAGTACACCAGATGCCTCCGAGAGTACTTACAGCTGGCCCACTATTCTTAGAAGTGAACTTTCCCGTGAAATTTAGATGTACAAGAACTCATACGTACAAAACGCCCTAATCAGGATCGAAAGCACGGCAGATACTACGGAAAACCCCACAACCGAAGATATTTGCAGATTGCGGCCCACCCCATGTATATGAATGAACAAGTGATTCTTTAGGGAAAGAGGAAGCCCGAGAGGCTACTGAGACTCCCTACGCAAAGAACACGTTCCTCGTCACGTCTCTCGGCTTCGGTGCAGCTTTTTAGCCCAGGATTGTTATGACTCAGACATACTCCCATATCAGCACGTTCAAAACCAGCTGTGTTAGTCGATTTGAAATGGACCTGTAATAGCCACATCAGAACTCAAGGATACCTGACCATTAGGATCGCTATCAGGGTAATACTATTATGAACATTGTAATCTGGCCGTGTTACCGTGACAGGATTAAATACCTGCCGGACCATTTGTAAAGATTCACCGGACTCAAAGAGATTAAGTCCTACCTTAGCACATGCTTTGATGCTCAACTGCAACTTCGAGAAATTCCGCCTACCCTTGCTTCACTCCGGGGGATACGAAAACATATATAAATTGAGACAGGAGAAGGGATTGTTGAGGACGGAAGGCTTCTACAGGACAGCCAAAACGTAACGCATTATTTTAACCAACCTACCAAGGAAGATTACACTGCCTTCCACCTAGCTCCAAATGGCCATGTACATCCAGTTTTCGTCGGCTATCCCACCGTTGCTGTGATAGTCTCAATGGACACACTTTTAGCTGCGCGTGACGTGGGAATAACACCATCCTATCTACTTCAACAAGGCCAACAGCAACGGTTAGGTATACTTTAATGCAAGACGGCAGAATGGGGAGAATCTTTCCATACTACCACCCAGGATCCTTGAGCTTATCCACGGGCCTCAGAGAGTGCGTAGCACGCACGAACATGGAAATGCTAAAGGCGATAGAGAGCGTAACTGGACTAGAAAATGCCTAGAGAAAACAACAGATAAAAATTACGGACAAGCCCAAGCCCAGCCTTGCCGAATGGGCGAATCAGATGAAGCTAAGATTCTGTGGTCACCACCCCAAAAGCAACCCACTTTTCGCTTCATGGTCAAGAAAATAGATAACAATAGGCCCTTCCATCTAATAGTGCAAACACAACATCCCATTACCTTTAGGGTTCCCGGATATGATGCTACTAATCGCCATACCATCTAATGACAGGATGCACCTATACTATTAACAATTATCCAAAGCTAGTGCAAAATCTCGCAATTTTGAAGGTCCATTGCCCGCTTGATCAAATCCTACCAAGAATATTTACGGTCTTAGGGTCATGCTCAGAGACAATAGATGGGGCCATATCCTTGCTGAGCATGTTAAGCCAAACCCAAGAGGAGGGCTAGGAGATGGAGCAGACAAACTCCTAGAGTATCGTGAACTAGTTGCATGTGGTGGGCCTGAAGACCCTCAATTTAAAGCGCTTTCTGAAAACATCGATGACGCAAAAACCAGAAGAGAATGCTAGTTCGCTTATCTACAATATATGATCCAAGTAATTCGTCGTTACCAAGCTTCTGATAAAAGGGATAAGATATACGCCATTCTGGGTCTCACGAAAAGATTTCCGCCTCAGGACATAGGAGAACTATCGAAACCCAACTACAACATCTCACTGTTGAACTATACACCTCAGCATCAGCGCTTCTAATAGAAAGCCTACCTCTGCTCTCTATATTATCGTATGCGGAAGACGATACGAGTCGAGCCAGAGGGTCTTTACCATCTTAGGTCCCTAATTATTCCTGTGCGCTCTGGAGGAGACCAATAGTCCATCTTTGGAACCGCAACATTTCTAGAGAATCCGGCTCCACGCTGGGTCTGTTCTCATAGCTCCTATCTTACCGTGAACGGAGCTCCTTTCGGCACTATTACCGAAATCTCTCCAACGCTAAGTGGCATGGTTGAAACAGTCTCTATTACACTAGTGTTTAAGATATGTTTTAAGTTGAACAAGATGTATCCACTAATAAACCAGGACCGATTAGAGGCGCTTTGGAGAACCCTGATTGCTGACACTTCGGAGAGACCTCCAAAGGCCCATCCAGCACCAACTGAGTATGGCAGTCATGAAAATTACTGGGTGCTGCATCTCTACAAAAAACATTTTAGGTGGTCAAAAAGCCACTTCTCCTGCGAGCGCGAACTAGCGATCCTGTCTACCCTCATTGAATCGAGCCCTGTTAGGTTCATCCTTCCGACGCCGACAGAAATCCTTGATGATCTGCAGCTAGATAGCGAGCAAAATTATGCAAGACCTAGAAAGGAATCGTCCGATGATGCAGGGGCAAAGTCCGCACATTCAAGCAGTGGCTTTTATATTTTCGATCAAGCAGCCCGGGAAGTAGAGCAAAGAGGTGCTTGTTCAGGACTTTGAAAGGCTATCTTGGGCTAGGTCCTCTTTCAATGCGGCGCGGTAACAAGGTATGGCTCCTCCAAGGAGCAAGAATTCCATTCGTAATGCAAGAGAAACAGTGGCTCCTTGGGGACACATCTCAGCAGTACAGGTTAGTGGGTGAAGCGTACGTGCATGGGTTTATGCATGGCAGGATGCTCGATACGAGGCTGAAAGGCAGATTTGCTCCAGTGGAGATCGCTTAAGCTGCGATAATATCCCGTGCTAGGATGAGATGAGGTCTATAGGTTTTTCCATGCGGACAAACATAGAGATATATCTTTGATAGTAGCAGAACCAGTACATAGGCTGCGAAGCAAGAAACGTATTAAATGGTTGGCTAATTGTTTGCCCTACTGAAAATGGACCTCGTGAAAAGCCGAAGCTACAGCTATGCGCATGGTCAGCTTCCACCCCCTCCTTTTCTTTTAAAAAACAACATTTCTTCGCCACGGCACGCGAACTCGCCTAGTTGCCACCAACCGTACAGAGAAATTGTAGCGAACGGCTATAACCGCGCGCAAGGACTGCTTTGATGGAAGGTTCCGGTTGTTTAGGGGACCTCACGATACGGTGAAGGTGACGGTGAAGGTGACGGCGAAGACAACGGCGCTGTAGTTTAAAGTTTCTTTAGCCAAGCAGAGGCGTTCGCTACCTTTGCTATGTATGGTTTGGTGGCTATTAGGCGACTATTAGGCGAATCTGAATACTGGTTCAATTTTGAAGGGGGGAGCGGTGGAAGCTGGCCATGCACATAGCCGTACCAAAAAAGCAATATCCGAAACGTGGCGTTTCTGTGCTGTAAAACCCCGCTTCTGCCAAGAATGATGAGGTTTAGGATTTGGTAAAGCAAGACTATCTTCTCTAGGCAAGTAATTGGAGCATTGAGAGAATTATAATATTGGGTTTGCCGTGACACTGGGTATAAATTTGAAATTCTGGCATTAGGGGTTTATGAGTAGGAAAAGCAATAATATAGAAATTACGGGGAAAATTACGAATAAGTGCAGTCTCATTTCCAGCCGTGACCATCAGAAGTCCGAAGAGTGATAGTGATTCCTGTTTGCTTCAAATACAAAGGAAGCTGTAATTTATTCACTCGTGACATTCTATTGCCGATATAAGTGCTTATTCTATCCTACTATCCTCATCAAGGTAATCCAGGCATTCGATCTGAAGATTCGCCTTCCTTGGCTCCGTGGTCTAGTGGTATGATTCCTGCTTTGGGCGCTTCATACACACTCAAATTTGCAGGAGGTCCCGCTTTCGAATAGCGGCGGAGCCCAGCGTTTTTCTTTTTGCTGATTTAATTGTTAGATCGGCGTGTGTGGGATGGGGGGAGGCCCCAATACTTCTAGTATTTTTTAGCTTCGGCGGTTAGTACGGGTCGGAACATCATTGCTCCCAACACCGATGCTACCACCTTGTCGGGACTCCGCCATGCCGCGTGGAAAGAACGCCACTGCTCCCTTTCCAAGAAAACCGCCGAAGACCACTGCGGCCGTCAAGCTGGCTGCTAATCTAACGAGTGGGCGCTTTCAAGCGCGTCGAATATGCTGTTGTTTCAGCGAGTAAGGCAATTAATCGACTGGTCCCGCGGGTATTTTAACTTTGGAGCATTGCAAGTCATTGCTTGCTCCTTGGGAAGTCCGCTTCGCTAATCTCAATTCCGAATCTATGCTTTCATGGGGGTAAACCCCCAGCCCCTCGTCCTCGCTTTGCTCGATTGAACCTTTAACGTTATTACCTACAGTTATGTGATGGCCAGCTTTCATCACCCCTTTTTTTTTAAAAAAAAAAAAAAAAAAAAATTT